TATTTATTTTGTAAAACCAACAACAACAACATATGGCTGTGGGTTGGGGGAGAGAAGTTACACCTCCTTCTCGCCCCTATATTCTCTACCAAGACCAGGGAGTGAGAAAATTCTGTAGGGTGCTCATTTGCAGGGTGTGAAGCCCACTTGCAAAGGAGCACTCTGCACCATGCAGGATCAGTGCCTCCACTGATAAGAGCCATTGATCAGGGACAGACCTGAGTCAAGGAAAAAGAGCCAGGCGGTGAATATCTTGGATAATAAGCAAAGGAAGGTGGGGGCACCACTCCACTTCTGAAATCCATGGAGGATCATTTTTCCATTCACTTCCTCTCAACCATTTACTTATCCTCATTATACATCTTCATCTTAGCTAGTGGGTGAGTTTTACCATTTGTTTTGTCTCCACGTGGAAGAGGAATGCAATAACTTCAGGCTCAGGTGGGCAAAACTCTCTGTAGAGATTCACAGGTGCTCAATATGTGCATGTTTATGACTAATGATGCTTATTTATGGATGGGGTGATGATGTTCTTTCTCCTTTCTATGAACCTAATCACAAACAAGAGCTAGGAATATACGATGCAGTCATTCTCTTTGTGATTTTATCTGTAAATTTCACCATCTATGGAAATTGGGATAGGCCAGCTATTTGCGTGTTAAGGTTCCCAAACCGCCCTTGAAATAATTCACAATAGACACAGAATTATGGTTTAAGGTTTTTGGCATAATTTTGGCCACAACTTTATTGATTACAGCATGTGAGTGGTTGCTTAGGAATTGGTTCCCAACTAGCTGCACCTGACCTTGGCAGGGCAGCACTGACGCCTGGACTCCGGCAGACGTCAGTAAGGGAAAACAATCTGGGGAAAGTCTGAGCTGAACACCAGTCTCTAACCTCACCCCAAATGCTCCCAGGGGCTCTGGCGTGGCCCTAGCCCCTTGACAGGGGTTCAGACAAGAGCAAAGCGAGCCCCTGGATTCCTTTAATGGAATACCCTTGCAGCAGCAACTTGGAGGGGCAGGCACAGCCAACCACATCCCCTCCACCAACCAATTGAACCTAACCGCCAACCTTACAAAGTTGTGATGATTTGCTACTCAGTAGGCAAAAACCAAAAGGCACCAATCAGCCTATGACAAAATGCCTACTAGGCCCCTGCTCCAAAGCAGAGGACTCCATGACAGGCATAGCAAGGTCAATAAGCCCCTAAATATAGGGAAGGGGGCGGGTGATCCTGTGCACACAGAGAAAAGAGGAAGCTCAACGACACGTGCAGGGATATAAATAGCCCCTTGGTTGCCAATCACTAGCTCCCTGAGCCAAATTCCTTCCCCAGCAACCGAGGGGCGACCAATTGGGAGTTGAGGCCATCCAATCATACCTGCCCCAGCAACAGCAGGGCAGTTTGGGTGACCTCACCACAACACATTCTCTCTGTGATGGAGGACACAATTTCCTTGACGGTGGGTTTTAGGCCTGGTTTCATATAAATGTAAAGTCAGAATTCAGTAAGAGTTTCAAAGTGGCACCCTGCAGCAAAATGTGTCTGGAAGTAGGATGGATATCCCAGAGGCAAAAGAAGTGGAGGAGTTTTTAACAAGAACTTTTTGCTAAATACAATGCAATAACTTTGGGATCCCAATGGAGAACAACATGCCAAATGGAGCATATGCTTCTCTGGTCACATCAGGAGGCAGAGATGTTACACAAACAGCTATGGCATGCTCACACAAGATGCCGGAGGCCTGGACCACTGCCTTGGTTCATTTAGATATAAAGTCCCCTTCGGTTGTGCTGGCAGCATCATCTTTTAATTACAGAAAATTCAAACATTTTGTTGTGCAGGCACTCTGGCACCTAAAAGCGCCGTTCACCCGCCTCTGTATGGCAGTAGGCCATCTATCCCCAACTCCTCAGAGACCAGCCTCTTCAAAGCTATCAGCAGTAGAACATCAGCCCTTACCCCCTGAGGCTCTAACCTTGACCCAGACTTCCTTCCAACTCCAAAATCCATTTGAAAATAAAAATGCTTCATTAACTTCCAGTTGCACAGAGCTCCAGAGAAGCTGCCAGCCAGCACATCCTTGCTCTATGGATAAGCTATGAGATGTATCCATTTTTAATCATTATTTTTCCTGAGCTGTTCCACTCCTCTGCCATGGTGTGTGTGTGTGTGTGTGTGTGTGTGTGTGTGTGTGTGTTCTCAGCCAGATGATTTTCCCCAGATGGGCTGTTGTACTGTCATTTTGATTGGCAAGTTCTACATCAGCCTCCAGCAGATGCCCATAGGGATGAAAAGGTCTGAATTGCTGATAAATACTATGCTGGACTCCACACTATCTTGGTTGGCTTCTTCTACCTGAATACACACATCAAAGCCCAGTCCATCAAAATGGATCGTTGTTTTAAAAGGTACTCAGTCATAGATTTACTCATGTAGCCAGCACCTGCAAAATGAGCCTGCCTGTCCATATTAACCTAAATTAGTCACTTGTAGCATACTGATGGTCTAAGGGGCGGGGGTGGGGGTCAATTTCTTTTTTCTTTTTCAAAAAATAAATTTTCCAGTTTTCAAAAGCTTTCCTGACTATTTTTTAATAACTGAGAATGACAGACAAATGAGTATTTGCAAGTCTCTTTGTCGGGGGTTTTCATTTGCTTCTGTGGGATGCTTCTCACATAACAGCAGCCTCCATTTAATCACATGGGGAGCATTCATTGTGTGAACTAGGGATGCTTGTTTGCATCATGTCAACTGTTTCCTCAACCCCATCAGTGACAGCCAATAACATGAACTGGGGGCAGGGAAACACACGTGTTGGAGAGCAAGGGATAAGTAACCTTCCACAATGCAGGAGTGAAAATGAACTTTCCATTTGCACCTGCAGTTTGTTCTTGGGTGTAATGTGTAGCTCTACCCCTGAGATAAATATAAATCAAAATAGTTTTGTTCAGTATAGTCATTTCTAATACATTGCAAATAGTTAGCATCAATAAGTATCATGGATCCTGTAAGTATTCTGTATCCCAATGTCACAATTTCTAGCCTCGCGAAGCAGGGTCATACGAAGTCGACCCCCACCCCCAACACAATCACTCTATTGGCCTCACATTCACTTCTGCATGTCATCCTCCATGTCTCAATGGATTCATGACTTCCTTGCACTGACCTCATGTCCATTTGCTTTCCCATCCATCTCTCTGTCTCTTCCCATTTACAGAATGCTCCTCCACTCACCGCATGAAAGATGACATTCAAGGTTTGTCATTTTTATAGCACTGAACCATCTGGACCACAAACTGTCTCTCCTCCCTGAATCCCTAAGCAAATGACTTCTTTTCTTGCTTACACAATCTGGCCTTATGGATACTTTATCTTTTTCCCAAAGACTGAATCTTCCCATGAAAATTTCTGGAATAATCCGTTAACCACAAATTGTCTGAAAGTTCACATATAAAGAAAAATTGTGTTTCAAATGGGACATTTCAGTGAAGAAGAGACCTCTAGCCAGTTCTTAATAATAACTATAGGTGAAATTCATATAACAGGTCGAAGTTAAAATCTCAGGGCACTATGTGGAATGGACTGTTACTTTTCTTCTTTTTTTATGAAGATATTGATTTCTACTGGAACTTGAAAACAATTTTCCAGTGAATATTACACACATCCACACCATTTAAATAAGTATTTTCAGGAGGGGGGAGGAACACAGCAATAATATGACAATAGCTTCCATAACAGTAGTATTTTTCAGATTTCTCTACAAAAGCTTTGAGATGAACAGGTATTCATAAACCAAAGTGCCAAAGGGATAATTAAATGAGGGTAATGGCTGGGTCAAAAGGCAGTTAAACTATACGGCTTGATATTTTAAAAAAAATAGCTTTGATCTTACCATCTAGAGTATTACTAAGAAGTACCAAATGCTCTGAAGATACCTCTTATTCACTCTAAGAGGGCGGGGAATCTGATTTTAACAACTTGGAAGTAAGTTTATCCATTTAAAGTTCTGCCCTTCTGGCTTGCCAAAGGGGCTTTCCAAAGCTAGCTATTTTCATCGCAAGAGCTTCTGAAAGACCCAATACAATTTATAGCAGGGATATAAGCAACTTAAAGAAATCTTAGCTTGAATAATGGTATTGATTTTAATTGCTTAATTTATAGCTTAGATTAATCAATAAAGTCAGAGAGGGAAAGTGCATAGGAACAAACCATAATTTTAAAGGGACAGATGTTGTGTAGAGGATGACAAAATGTCAGGTTCAATCATAGAAGAGATATACCTTCCTGTGTGGGAGAAAAAGAGGGCACCTTTCCTAAGGTGTCGCCACCCAGCCTTGTTTCTCTCCCATCTTAGCACTTGTGTTACAGTAGCTACAAGCTAGCATGGAACGCTTTTGTGATCATGACAATGAATTATTCAAAAGCTCTGCATATATTGTCAGTTCAGTTCTAGCCATGTTTACCAACCAGCAAGATTCAGTCTGTGTAGTGAAAATGTGTCAAACTAGGGTTGGGGAGGGCTCAAATTCCCACTTAGCTATGTAGTTCACTGCCTGCATTGGGCTATCACAATTTCTCAGTCTAACCTATTTTACAGTGAGGTTGTGAAAACAAAATGGATGGATTCCACCCTGAATTCCTTGAGAAAGAGCAAGATTAAATACAATAATAATTCGCTCAGATGTAAAGTGTTTTTGAGTTCAATAAGAATGGCCTACAAGTGTGCATGTGATCATCAGAGGACATGAAGGAAAATGGCTGTGGGACTTAAAAAAATGAATATTGGTATAAAGAGAACTACACAAATGTACAATACAATACTGGAGACTAAATGTTATATTCATTTTTAAGAATATTTAAAGACCTTACCACAAGACCTCAAAACCCACAAATCAAACTGATCAAATTACCCTGCCAATCTTCAAAAAGATCAACCAACACTGAAGAGGTGGCTTTCTGGGAGCTGTGTGATATGAAATTGCTTGCCTCTTACCAGTAGAATCTGTTTGGTGTTACGTTTTCCTGGAGTAGTAGCCATCTTCTTCCAAATTCCACTGAACTGTATAACTAAAAAGAAGAAGAAGAAGAAATCAAGAAAAAATGCAATCTATTATTCTTCTGCCAGTGACTTTGTTTAATTGTACGTTGACAGTATGACAATAAATGTGGAACAGAGAGAAAATTACACCTCATCAGGTTAGTTTTGTGAGCCGTCTTCTTTTATCAAGTTTCCTCTCCACTTCATCAAGAGATCATACCACAGCTGAGGTTACTGTCACTCCTCAGTGGTTTCTCAGTTGTGACAGCTGATAATGACAGTACTGAATACTTTGCTGTCATAGCTGAGAAAACGCAGGCAGTGAGCGCAAGGCAAACAAAGGTGGAGATTAATCTCACTGAAGTGAATCCTAAACCTGTGAACTATATTAGACACTATTTATCCAGGGAATACCCTTGCTGTACTTGCTTCTGTTTTTGAGAATGGATTCTGGGCTATAGCAGAAAGTGAGCTCATTTAACATGTTCTCTCTTGTCACATCTGCTAAGTATGTAACCCAAAGAAAAGAAATCTCAACAAACGCTTCACCTGAAATGCAGAACACAGAAGAGGTGGTAGGCAATGCTAACAAACGTATAATTACTGCACTCTAATTGATAGTGTTGTCACAATGGCAAATCTACAACTTTGTCAGCTTCATAGGTGAAAAGTCTGGAGATCCTGATCTTAGTTTGTATCTGGTAAAAGTGGCAGAAAATACAGGCTGGGAAGAAATACTTAAAACTTCGCATCATATTCATGAGAGTGCCTGGGAGAAACTAAGATGTTGCAAAAACATTTCCCTGAATATTGACCCATAAATAATAGAGGGTATTTCATCTTTCTAGTTGGATCAGGTTGACTGTGAACTACTATGGGATTTCAGGGTTTTTTTGCTTCTCATTTGCTGGTTAGGAGATGAGAGGAAAATCTGATGCAATTAGGCAGGAGGAAGAGACTTATTTATTTCTAGACATTACCCTGTAAAAACACACAATGAAAATAAGCTTGGCTGAGTAAAAGTGAAGTCTGGCAAACCAGCAGTGTTTGGGCACAGCCATGCCAACACCTAAAGTCCCTTTGACTTCAGTTTATTTAGTCAACTTATTTTATCTAACTTTTAAATCAGATATCAAATACACAACAAAAAGACAAGACAAAACAATATGCTGGAAATAAAACATGTAAAAATATAGCAATGTTAGAACAAGCAGAATGTAGCTCTGGTTGTCTATCACAATCACCACCAAAAATAAAGCCACAAGATGGGTGCCTCCACAGGGCTGTGGAGATGATAGATTGAGATCTAATGATTAGATTTGTAGATAATTTGCTATAATTTATGACTGTCGATTGTTTAACAGTGCTTGTCTTTTGCACCTAGATCTAGTAGTGGGGTAGGAGAGCTGAAAATAATGCCAATATATTTCACATCTGGCAATCTATGTGCCCCTTTGAATTCAGATAGTACACGGGTTGACAAGTCTAAAAAACCTGGGACAAAGGCAATGTATTTAGCATTAACTCTGAAGGTGTATACTTGATTCTGGCCAATCTAAGACTTCTAGAGCAAAATATACATCAGGAGGCTATCTCTCTCATATACCCTCCAATATACAGATAAAACATACAGTAGCAACAGATTCCTTCCCCTTCTTTGGAGTACTTGCTGTGGGATGGATCTGATCTCATTCACACACACACACACACACACAGAGAGAGAGAGAGAGAGAGACAGACAGACAGACAGACAGACAGACAGACAGACAGAGATCTTCTTGAGGGAAAGTGTAAGTAACATTGAGAAAGCAAAGGTTAGCAATGGACATGTTTCTAGACCTCAGCTTGGCCATAGGACTTGTCTGCCAATTTCCTTGTGAGATTTTGGTAGGAGGGTTACCAACAAACATGACATTGATCACAAAATATAAATGCCACTCAAGCTAGGCATTTTTAAGCCTATAACTCACATAAATGGATTGACCATGAAACAAAATGTGGCATGTCAAATTATATCTAGTAAGTACTGAAGCATCACAAATATGGCTTGAACTAACAACCCAGGTAAATTAAATGTAGTGTTTTCAATTGGGGGGCTTTGTCAAATGTTTGCTATGTGGGAAGTGCCATTATGGATTGGGAGAGAACAGGTGGACTGGAAGTAAGAAACAGTGATGTCAATCAGGCTTTTGTTCCACCAAAATGGACACTGACATCTTTTTTCCTTCCCATTCCATTCTATTGCTGCTTGATAGGCAGAAGTGCTGCTTTTTTTGTTGTTGTTAGAAGCTTTTACTTAATACAACGTATTTGCTCGTGTAAATCCTTCCTCCTCCTTCCTCCTCACACAATCTTTCCCCCCACCCAGAGCCTAAATATTGATAAATCCCCATTGCTGCATCAAACTGTATAATGTGCTTACCAGATGCTAAAAACACTTACAATTTGGTGGAAAATATTTTTTTGGCAGACAGCAACATTTTGATATCATCATCAGTTTCTTTTCATTCTTGTCCAAGGACAGAAAATGAATTTCAGACCAAGCAGAAACTGAATAAAAAGTCAGGGTCATATCTCCCTGTTCCTTAGGGAATAGTCTTATTTCTTCCTTTTCTACTCTCTTTCCTATATTATGGAGAAACTTGTATTTCAGATAGACATATGGCCTGGATTCTCAGTGACTGTAAATTGTGTCCCCACTTGGCATGCGGCACACTCTGCTCTCCATGAGCACTATAGACGACTATTATTTAACATTTACTATTCATGAGCTGTACAGAATGAAGACATGATGTGTTCTCTGCAGGGAAAGTTATCAATCAAAGGGCACAATCCTCCACCACATTTTATATATAATGAATTGGGGTGTGTGAATAGGATCTGTATAAGATCTTGCATAGCCCCCATTCATTTCCATGGGATTTATGCATGATTTATTGGCACACTGTACTCAAAGTAAGGTGGGGAAGGGGAGGTCTGAAAAAGATGTACATTTTCTGTGCTGTGGATGAGTACAGAAGAAAAAAGTATAATGTACAGTCAAGTATAAATCTGGTCTATATGCCTATCTGCCTATATGCAACAGGTTACCTAGGTCAAGAAGCAATTATGGGTACAGAATTCCTCAAATAGGAAGGGGTAGGATGTGCTTTTTGGTTTTTAGTAAACATATAGCATTCTGGGTTGCCCTAAGTCCTATTTACATGTTACTCTCAAGTAGGGCATATCCATGTTGACTTTGGGAAGGGGTTGTGCTTTTATCCCTTCTCCATGCAACAAGAATGTGCGCACACAGTTGTTTGAAGAGAAATTCACATGCACAACCACTTACTTGCATGCTGAGGTTGCACAAGTTTTCATGGAGGCCTCACATTCAAACAGGTGTTCATGCATCAAAATTTATCTGCAGACAACCACACACAACACGCAGTTGTTGCAGTGAGAAAATCTGATAGTGGAGTTAAAGGCTAGAGATTCCACCTGTCTGGAATATTTCAGTTAAGTCAGTACCGTACTTAGGGCAGGACCATCCCAATGTTGTTAGATTCCAAACCCCATCGGTCCTAGCCAGCATGACCAATGCACAAAAATAATAGGAGTTGTAGTGCAGGAACATCTGGAGATTTGCACGTTCCCTACTCCTGATTCAGCCTAACTATCTAGAAGGAAGTTCATAGAAGTCAAGTTCCCCATTTCTTCCACCCTGTACAGCCCCCTGTGCCCCTGCAAAGCTTATCCAGAGGGTATTGTGGGGGGTGTCTGTCTGATTCTGGGTGGTTCTGTCCTCCCACAGCAATATCCCTGGGTCCCATCCCACATTTTTTAGGAGGGACTCCTGGTTATCTGTAGAGGTTTTCTGGGGCAACCAGGTGGCTAATAGTGGGGGGAGTGAAGAGGAAACATCTGTCCATGAAATTCCTTCTGTACACATATCTAAGGATCCAAGAAATCTACTGTTATTACCTCCTCTTTCCTGACCTAATTGGCAGTTCTGCCAAACCAAACTTTGATACCTCCACAGTTGAAAGATTCATTAATGTATAAAATCAAATGAACGTAGGGGGAAATCCAAACACTTAAAATAGTACCAAGAAATTTGTCACACAGCACAGAAGCTATCAATATCTTTCCCTAGCTACCTAGGAACTTATTTATTTATTTCTCATGGAAACCACTGATAGCGATAAAACCTTCAGATATCCATCTAGAGGAGAAACAGTCATTTAAAATGTACTAAGATTAACATCCCGGCAATTAGTTTTCCTGTGGTGTCCCTTTACAATCATCATTAAACATGTTCAGGGAAAAGTATATTCAATCAATGCTCTTTTCTCAAATGCTTCTCTTTTCTTAAATATAGTGGCAGTTTGATTCTTCTTTCTCAATGCATCTTCATCCTAAATGCTATGTATACAAGTACAAATTAAAAAGAACTTCATCAAGCACTACTTTTGCACCCAAATGCATATGAATCTCTGACTCGGGTATCAGCCCTAACATAAGCAACAGCAGCAGCCCCAAATACTCAAACTGCTGGGCTAGACCAGGTTATCTCATTTAACAGTGGTCAGTAAGAGAACCCTAGCAAATTGACAAGCATGATATACTGGAGATAACATCCCTTGTTGTTTATCCCCATTATTCAATACTGAAAACTAAACAAGAAGACTGCATTGTAAGCTGTCATGGTTCTTATACATTGATAGATCTGTCCATTGATAGATCTTTCCCCAAGGATAAGAACCAGTTTACATACTATACCTGCTGCCACATGGAAAATGCATAAAATAGCACACTCACAAGCATATTTAATCAGAAGTAAGTCCTACAGGGTTCAATGGATCCTACTCTCTAAGTAGGTGTAGGATTTCAACCTTAATCACTTAGCGACAGAAGGATTGTCATCAAAACAAAACAAAACATGGTGAGCCATGCAATGGCTAGACAAGTGGTGGGACCAATTTTCTCCAGATCAACAGAAATGATTTGTAGTAGCATAGAGCCAATTTTGTGGTAGTGGTTAGCCATT